CCCCCCCCCCCCCCCTCCCCACCAATACTTCTTTATTGTTCTCCTAATCCCACCCTCCATACAAACTTATAAATTATCCCTTCCATCTTATCTTACCACTTCTCTAACCGATCCCTTTCATAACATAATTCCGCGTGATAAAATAAACTATTAAATCGGAGCAATTGTAACTTATGAATGAATGAAATGAATCTTTCGCAGGAAGATTGAATTGAATTAATTAAGTTAAGATTAAAAAATCCTGCTCCGGATTCCAATCATTAAAAATTACGTACGAACAAATTTTAATTGTTACAATTTAGTGATTTTTTTTTGAAAAATTGGGAGTTTTGAACTTCCGTTTTGGTTCCGGTTTCGGTTTAAAATAAATCTTAAATTGTTACATATACTAAGTATAATGTGTAGACTCTGTAGCAAAGATAAAACGACCAACGTTCGAATTTAATAAATTTAAGCCGCGTCTCAAATCCCCCCAAAACAGGTTCTAACTGAGCGCCGGCTCAAATCATAAAAAATTGAATACAATTTTAAGTGGAACCAACCATATTTGAGCCGTTGCTTTAATTTAAGCCGCGGCTCAAATTCTCAAATTTGCCTCAAATCATCGTTTTTTTTACACTTTTTGCATAATGAAGTTACGATCAGAATACTCAATTTTGTAAACTCGGAAACTTCTTGGATTTTAGGAAAGACGCTTAAACAATATAAAATATAAAAATATAAGATGAAAATACGTGAAATGTAAAAAAATAATCAAGTATTCCAAACACAATTTGATATTCCAGAGATATTTATTAAAGATTCTAGGATGAGGGATGATGAACTGTTTTCTGACCGATGTTAAGAAACCTAAAACTATCATTTATCAAATCCTGACTAAAGTTCATCCTACAAATATTATATCAGGATCAATTTTTTATATTGATATCTAACTATCTAGAACTTTTATTTTTGTTGTTCAATGTTCTTTAATTTGACAAATTTTAGGATTTTTATGTTTAATATCGATGGGTTGGAATGAGAAAAATTTCACAAGAAATACTTTTATTCTGGCTGGAATCCATTTCCTTTTCCTGGTTGCTTTTCAGAAGAAATAAAAAGTTAAAATACAAAAGTCTTTAAAAAACTAAGAAAACGTTGCATAAACATGCGATCAACAACATCTATATAATGTTTAAAATAAACACTTTTTTTTTTTTAATCCAAAATAATCCGTAAAAGTAATAATAAAACCGGTTTATTTCCTGGTCGCAGGTAAACTCCGCAAAACTACCGTTAAACATCGATATTCTTCCATCCGCTATAGGAGCTGGGGCGGAACAACCTAGACAAGAAAGTTAATACAATGGAATTGAGTCTTTTCTACAAACCAAAATTTTCTATTTCCTATATCTTAGGAACCGGCCGGATGGTGTAAACCTTTGATAATTTCCGATTTAGATTTTGGGAAACAAATAAATAGGGATTTGAAAATCTGATTTTATTTTTTTGGATTATTGTAATATTAAATTTTGTAATAAATGGCAAATACATGGAATTTTTATCCATAGCTTACAACCAAAATCAGTAGTGAATGAAAATTCTAATTCTTTGGATAAAATTACGGGAATTATTTATTGAGAAGGTTGAACAAAATTGGATTAAATTTAAAGAATAATAAAAACTGTGCCAAAAAAAAAGATTTTAATCCTAAACTCCTTGTTTTTGGTTTAAAAAGGTTGTTATTTTAAATGAAAGCAAATAATAAAAATAAAATGAATATCATGGAATAAAATCAAGAGTAGATATATTGAAGAAAAAATGTCATAGTGACTAGTAATTTTTAAATTTTAAAAGAACAAAAATAGCGCAAAATGATGAAGGAAAAAACATGAAATTTTAAAGTTACCTATTGTTTTATATCTAAGAAGAATTCCTCTACGTGAAAGAATTTGCTGACTACTCTCGGAAATTATAGTTCTAAAAAAGACTGAGTAAACAGAAATATTTATAAAGAATATTTAATCTTCAAGCAAGTATTAGTTCTGTTATATATATATATATTACTAGGTAGGGAACCCAGGTTTACCTGGAAACTATATATATTACTAGGTTTGGAACCCAGGTTTACCTTGAAACTACATATATTACTAGGTTGGGAACCCAGGTTTACCTGAAAACTATATATATTACTAGGTTGGGAACCCAGGTTTACCTGGAAACTATATATTACTAGGTTGGGAACCCAGGTTTACCTGGAACAATATAAATTACTAGGTTGGGAACCCAGGTTTACCTGGAACAATATAAATTACTAGGTTGGGAACTCAGGATTACCTAGAATAATATATATTACTAGGTTGGTAACCCAGGTTTACCTGGAAACTATATATATTACTAGGTTGGGAACCCAGGTTTACCTTGAAACTATATATATTACTAGGTTGGGAACCCAGGATTACCTGGAAACTATATATTACTAGGTTGGGAACCCAGGTTTACCTGGAACAATATAAATTACTAGGTTGGGAACCCAGGTTTACCTGGAACAATTTAAATTACTAGGTTGGTAACTCAGGATTACCTGGAACAATATATATTACTAGGTTGGTAACCCAGGATTACCTGGAAACTATATATATTACTAGGTTGGGATTGAACCCAGGGTTACCTGGAAACTATATATATTACTAGGTTGGGAACCCAGGTTTACCTGGAAACTATATATATTACTAGGTTGGGAACCCAGGTTTACCTGGAAACTATATATATTACTAGGTTGGGAATATATATATTACTAGGTAGGGAACCCAGGTTTACCTGGAAACTATATATATTACTAGGTTGGGAACCCAGGATTACCTGGAAACTATATATATTACTAGGTTGGGAACCCAGGATTACCTGGAAACTATATATTACTAGGTTGGTAACCCAGGTTTACCTGGAAACTATATATTACTAGGTTGGGAACCCAGGTTTACCTGGAACAATATATATTACTAGGTTGGGAACCCAGAATTACCTGGAACAATATATATTACTAGGTTGGTAACCCAGGTTTACCTGGGAACTGTATATATATATTACTATGCTAGGAACCCAGGTAAACCTTCTCATGTATAAAAGTCAACCCACTCAAATTTAGAATTTTTATCGAAGCTAACAAAATTTCCGCGGTTCTAACTATTTGAGGCAAATCGGTCAAGAGGTTCGAGTTATGATTACACCCTAACGGAGATTGCTATTCTATATAAAAAATACGCAAAATGAGGATCCAAAATAAGACGCACTTGAGAATGTACTATTGAGGACGCACCAATGTGTGGTATAAATACATATCTTAGGTATACTGTATAATAGATAGATTGTAGAGATTTTCAGAATTGAGCTTAAAGGGACTGTGAACGTAATTAGACTGATATGCCTCTCATTATAGTGCAATGTCCGATTTACAACGATACCTTTGAAAGTTTTGTCTAGTTAAGAATGCATGAGATATCCGTTGTCTTCTCTTTTGAAACAATGATTACTTTCAATTGGGTTTTCCTATAAAGTGATATGCACCTTTTAACTTCGAAGCAATGGATTAAATTGTCAGAATTAAAGAATTCCCAAGCTAGAATAACGACAATACCTTTCACGTTACTGATCAGATACATATTTAAAGGTTACCGTTGTGAATACGACATGCCCCTAGCTTTTTCAGTGGAATTCAAATTCACATAGAAATTACAATCCCTTTAATTCTACCTGATTTGTATAAAGTTTCCTGTTGAAATTATACTACAACTATCCCTTTAATTCGACCTGATTTATATAAAGTTTCCTGTTGAAATTATACTACAACAATCCCTTTAATTCGACCTGATTTGTATAAAGTTTCCTGTTGAAATTACTCGTTTAATCTCCGCCAATCTTCCGCACTCCCGAGCCTCAGTTCTTCTACCCACCTGGAGATTTAAACAGGGTGAAAAAAAATATTACTGAAAATACGCCAATATTTCCCAAACTTTATTCTAAATAAGTTTTTTTCATTTCAATGCAAATTAGACAGCAAGCTAAATTCAATGATATAGTGAGACATCATCCGCATTTTCTCTTCAAGCATATGATATATTAGCTCCATTTTTAATTCTTACATTTCACCCTGCATTTTTTGCCAGGCCCTGATTTTATTTTTTTTGCATTTAAAAAAAATACATGAGCACGACATTAGATTTAATTTTCAAATTTAATTTTTTCATTTTATAAAAGTATGGGGGGGGGGTTTCTAACGAAGTTTTTTCTTTTCAGTAATTTTATCTTGATCCTTGTTTTATAACTTTTCTTCTTCTTATATCAATTATCGGTAAAACGTCAATATTTTCTTCAGAAAAACATTCTATTCATCCAAAACTAATAAGTGAAGTTGCCCCCACTCCCCCCCTCATCCCCCCCTTCTCTTTATAGTAATCCTGATTGCACAATACCGGGGGAAATCAGGTTTTATTCTCTACTTATATTCTGATATTAAATCAGAAATACATTTATAATTCTTACTCAAAAATTATATTTAAGTATTGCGTCAAATTTTTCCTAGAATTTGCAGTTTTTCTTCTATAATTATGAAATTATAAATACTTGTGACAGGTGTTTCAAGTTGAAACTCTTAAATATAAAAAAATTTCTCCCCCCCCCTTTTAATTTGTTTTTATTTTATTTAAAATAAAAAAAATTAACTCAATAAATGAGAAAGAAATGTTTTTAACTCTTTTTTAAGATAGAAGTTCATAAGGTTTTTCAAGTAAATTGGTATTATGGTTTTCGGAGAAAAATCCAAATAACATTTTTTGTTGCCACCCTGTGAATATATACCTGAATCTCTATACAGTCCTCAGTTCTATAAACATATAATCTTTTATTTCTTGTTCCTAAACCGGAAAATGTCAAGCAATGATTATTTTTATTTGATAACGTTTTTGTTTTGGTTACGTATTTTTACTGTAAAATATGAATCATTAAATATACATTTTTTATTTAGTTTATTTTACAGGTTGTCAAAAAAAACCTTGGACCAGATTTTTTAATCGTTTTTATTCGACTTTTAAAAGTATTAATCCACTCATTGGGATTTTCTAGTTGTAATTTTATTTTAATTTATACAGATTTGAATGTATGAAAAAAATTTAATTGGCTAAATGTTACATATCTTAGTACTTTTAATGTAGACAACATTTTGGAAAGTCGGTAAAACGTACAGATCTTTTTTTTATAGAACTTGCTTTAATATCAGTGCCAATATAGAATTTTTCAAGCAAGGAATAGGAACTATTTTAGAAAAATGTTGAAGATATTCATGTCATAAAAGCAAATCTAACAGTATAATATTTTACAATGCTAGACACAGTAGGCTAAAACGAGAAAATAAAACAGAATTCCAGAATGAAAATATTTTACAACATTAGAATTAAAATATATTCGACTAAGAACATATAAAATATGTTTATATAAATGAAGTTAAATAGATGTAAGAACAAGTAGACATGCAGTAAAGCAGAAATAAGAACAAGTAGACATGAAGTTAAGTATGTATAACTACAAGCAGACATGCAGTAAAACAAAAATAAGAACAAGTAGACATAAAGTTAAGTATGTAAAACTACAAGTAGACATGCAGTAAAGCAGAAATAAGAACAAGTAGTCATATAGTTCGGTATGTATAACTAACTACAAGTAGACATGCAGTAAAAAAGAAATAAGAACAAGTAGTCATATAGTTAGGTATGTATAACTACAAGCAGACATGCAGTAAAACAGAAATAAGAATAAGTAGACATGAAGTTAAGTATATATAACTACAAGTAGACATGCAGTAAAACAGAAATAAGAACAAGTAGACATGAAGTTAAGTATGTATAACTAACTACAAGTAGACATGCAGTAAAACAGAAATAAGAATAAGTAGACATGAAGTTAAGTATGTATAACTACAAGTAGACATGCAGTAAAGCAGAAATAAGAACAAGTAGACATGAAGTTAAGTATGCATAACTAAAAGTAGACATGCAGTAAAACAGAAATAAGAATAAGTAGACAGGCATTTAAGAAGTTTAGCAAGCATCCATTAAGTTGACAAAGTAAAACAGAAATACATGCTTGAAGTATGAATGTATGTAATATTCATGTAGTAACCTACAATATTGTATAAATAACATCTAATTACACTAAACAGATACTTTGTTTGTTATGCTACATATCTTCAGGAGGGGGTATGTTAAATGTTTAAAGAGAAAATGTAGAATAATTAATGAGTATAAAGTAGGAAATAAACAAATCTTAATGCAAAAGTAAATCTTTACTATAAAGGAGTAAAAACTGTTTTTATAACTTCTTAATCTTTTTGTACCTCAGGTTTAAGAAAAATCCGAGAAGATTTTAAAATTTCAAAATTGTTCATTCTAAAGATTTGCTTTCCCTTCTCGATGCCAAATTCTACCCTGAGAAGATGTTTGCAAAATATCGAACCAAAAACACTCGTTTTTTATTATTCATGTCTATTAAGAATTTTTTCATTTTCTGTAACTATTAACAAAACTATTAAAAAATTTCTTCAAAATTACAAGAGCAGAATAAAATAATATAATAGACTATTTCTAACAAATCCTAAAGTTTCATTTGTTGCTCAGTTGCCGTTGACCAAGAAATAAACCAATTAAAAATTACGCATTTTTAAAAATGTCCTCCATTCTTTGGACGACATTAAATTAGATGCTCTAATTCTATTAATATATACTTGCTGAAACAATTATCACAAAACTAAAATTTCTAATTTACTAATACTTACAACATTCCGGAATTTTTTCTCGTTTTAGTGCATCCGATCTTTAGGAAATTTTAGAATTAGAAATAATATTTTTTATCAACTTTGCTATTCTATACTCTTGGTTTTGGGAAGAAAACAAGCTTCGCGGATTTTTTTCTCGACCTTACAGGGAAACCCGCCAAAAAAAGAACAAAAAAAAATTTTCAAATCAAAAATGTGAATTGCAAAAGAAAAAGTATTTCACAGGACGACAGTAAATCACCCTGTATATACTAAACGATAGGGTGGGTATTGTTGTACGCCTTCTTCTGTCAATACCATCAATATACAATATACAATATACAATATACACAATAGGTAGATATGATAAATAAATACAATAAATCAAGCATGCCAATTTTAGGCTTTATGCTTGGTAAGTTACAGATGCTGGTTCTGTGGTAGAAAGGTGTCGATAATTATAAAAGGGCTTACATTAGGAATAAAGGGGGGGGGGGCTAGGGCTGGGCACGTTCCAACATTTTGTAGCCGTTTCGTTAACGGTTAGTTCCAACTGTTAAAAAGAAAAATGTTCAATTAGCCGTTAATTTTAAAGGTAAGAACGAAACGTTCGTTAACGTCATTTGCCATTTTTTTAAATTACCATTTGCTAAAGATCTCAATTTTATTGAAGACGTTAACGGAAAAATTTCAACAATCGTTAACAGCTCCAGTCGTTAACAGTCTATTACATTATAAACGACACGAAGCACCGAAAAAAATCGTTAATGGTTAAAGAAATTGTTAACGGTTTTACATGGAAATATGATGGACGAGGAAGGGTTGTACATTGAACTATGATGAAAAAGGAAGGGTTTTACATTGAACTATGATGAAAAAGGAAGGGTTTTACATTGAACTATGATGAAAAAGGAAGGGTTGTACATGGCAAAAGGATGGAATAGTAAGGGTTGTACATTGAAATAGGAGTGAAGGAGAAGGTTTTACATGGTAGTAGCATGGAAGAGGAAGGGTTTACATGGTAGTAGGATGGAAGAGGAAGGGTTGTCGTTGTACATAGAAATAGGGGTAAAGGGGAAGGTTGTTTGTGGAAAGAGGAGAACAAATTCCTGAAACCCCCCCCCCCCCCCCCCAGCACTATTTATTCCCTCAATTTATTATCATGCTGACATCAATATTTTACTAGAAGTAGGTTTTGTTTAGATTTATGAAGGCTCTTTATCTTACACAACCTTGGAAGATACCAAGGATCCAGGGCCGTAACTCAGAGGAAGGGGGGAACGGAACCCGTGCCCCCCAACATAAGATAAAATTTAAGGTGAAATAAGTGCTTTTTGTAAAACATTGTAGATTATCATTATCATTATTTCTATTTAACATAAAACAAATGATATAAAATACTAGGCTTCTATTTTGACTCTAAATTTAAAAATCTAAAATTTTTAAAGTCACATTTTTTCAATCCTATTCCTCCATAAACTTTCCCTGGGATCATGAGAGGTCCCACAAAAAATCTGGGCCTGATCGGTTGAGCCGTTTTTACGTTTTTCGGTTACAAACAAACTAATTCAGACGTCCAGACAGACAAGCAAAGTATATATAGAAGATCAAATAAGTTAACAGACAAATCCTCCGTATAAAAGATTGATAAAGAATTCGTAAATATAATTGACTTAAGTTGTGGTTCAGACACAAAATAATTAACATTTAATCTTTAAATTCTACTGCATTTAAATATATTTTACTATTCCTCTGAAACGAAATAAAGTTAAATTTTATAGAATGTAAAAATTTAAATTGATCTTTTGAATTTGAAATTTAAAATAACCCCAGGATTTTCATTTTTGAAGCTAATTTTATATTTGAAAAAAACACCCAGCATGGGAAATGTGTATATATGTTATACATAATAAATGTTATTCCATTTCAAAATTTGCACAAATAATAATGTTTAACTTTAAAGTTTTGTAAAGTTTAGACATTTTATTGAGCTGATAATTAATGGATCCCAGGACTTGAATAAATTCTTCAGCAAAAACTTTTCTCTAGAAGAAAACTTTAAACTATAATGTTCATTTTCATTAAAAAAAGAAAGTTTACATTTTACAACATTTTAATTTAACTCTTAAAAAGAACATGGAGATGTGATCCATATTTTAGAACATGGAGATGTAATCCATGTTTTAGAACATGGAGATGTGATCCATATTTTAGAACATGGAGATGTGATCCATGTTTTAGAACATGGAGATGTGATCCATGTTTTAGAACATGGAGATGTGATCCATATTTTAGAACATGGAGATGTGATCCATTATCCATGTTTTAGAACATGGAGATGTGATCCATGTTTTAGAACATGGAGATGTGATCCATGTTTTAGAACAGGAGATGTGATCCATGTTATAGATCATGGAGATGATATCCATGTTTTAGTTAGTTACCAGATACGACGTGTTTTCAGTTATATTTTGATGGCTAATTCAAATATATAATATCTTACATTTTTAATTTAAAATATCTGAAATATTTGAAAAAATCAATATTTTAGAATTAAATATCAAAACTTTATCACGTAAGGGTTTAAAAAGATTATGGTTCCTTAAAGATGTATCCAGCAGAGTAACTTCTATTCTCTGTCCCTCCCCTCCAGTTATATTCCACAAACAAGACCTTCCACCTAGTGAGGTGGAAATGGACTGTAAGCGAAATTTCAAGTGACCCTTCATGGAAAGATGGCAATATCCGATTTACTACGGTACCCTTGTCTTATCAAGCATGAAGTAGATATCCATGTTTTTGTATCTTTAACCTGTTTATTTTCATTTGCAGTATCTCTTCGAAAGTGACTTAGGCATTGCTTATATGAAGCAATGAAAGAACTCGCAGAAACAATTCACTTTTCCAGCAAGGAATAGGACGCTATGTTCCACATTTTTAATTAGATGAAGGTTTCAAGGGTACCGTTGTAAATCAGGCATTGTCATCTTTGTATGTTAAAGCTTACACTCTCTTTAAATAACATTGTAATGGACTACTACCTCATTTACATAGGTCGTATTTGATAATTCTGTAAATATAAGAAAAAACACAGTTCTTCGATTTGAAAAATAAAATAAGAAAAAATTTTTAGAAAGATACACAAACACAAACAAAACTTAAGGATTAGAATTATCATGAGCTAGCATAATATTGAATTGCATCCCTTGTTTCAACAAAAACTCATGAAAATCATATTTGAACGAATTATTTTAAAAAAGTATTTTTACCTAGATAGTATTTAGGGTAACCAGGAGAAGAGAGATATCCCCCTGATCCAGACTAAAAACATTGGAAAATATATAAATTAAATCAAAATATGTTTAAAAAGAATTATTTTCTAAGAAATTGCAAGTTGTTTAATCTTCTATTTATAGTGAGAACCAGAATACTCTGGAATAGGAGGAGACTTTTAGACTCTAGTTATTACTTTAAATAGCCCAATACAGGAGGTAGACTATTAGACTCAAGTTATTACTTTAAATAGGAGGTAGTCTTTTAGATTAAAGTTATTGCATTAAATACTCTGGAATAAAAGGTAGACTTTTAGACTCAAGTTATTACTTTAAATAGGAGGTAGTCTTTTAGATTCAAGTTATTACATTAAATACTCTGGAATAGGAGGTAGACTTTTAGACTCAAGTTACTACTTTAAATACTCTGGAATAGGAGGTAGACTTTTAGACTCAAATTATTACTTTAAATACTCTGGAATAGGAGGTAGACTTTTAGACTCAAGTTATTACTTTAGATAGGAGGTAGTCTTCTAGATTCAAGTTATTACATTCAAAACTCTGGAATATGAGGTATACTTTTAGACTCAAGTTATTACTTTAAATACTCTGGAATAGAAGGTAGACTTTTAGGCTCAAGTTATTACTTTAAATACTCTGGAATATGAGATAGACTTTTAGACTCAAGTTATTACTTTAAATACTCTGGAATATGAGATAGACTTTTAGACTCAAGTTATTATTTTAAATACTCCGGAATAGAAGGTAGACTTTAAAACTCAAATTATTACATTAAATAGCCCAATGATCATAATACTCAGCAATTGTGGAGTGTAATAGACCCATTTCACTTAAAAGTTAATATAATAATTTTCTATTTGCTTTGTGAAAACATCAAATTCACATAAGTATTTATTAAATATCGCCTTCTTATTCCACAGTTTTCTAGTTCTTACTGTAACAGAGGCTGTAATCTCTGTTGGTTTATCTGTTTACTGTTTAGATTTACGATAATAGTTCATGAACCCCTTGACCGATTTGCCTCAAATTTGATTGAATTGCTTAGTTGAACCAAAGGAATGTTCTGAGCCTGGTTTAAAGCAAAGCTGGGTTCCCAAGCTAGTCAAGGATAAAATCCATATTACTATTTTTGATATAATACTAAGTTTTATAATTTAAACAGCTAATGTTAATTTTTATCTAGAACCTGAAGGGTTTATTATTTATATTTTGATTAGAATATGCATAGATGTAAGTTTATTGTTCTTTTTAGAAATGTTGTTGCCTAGAAAATTGCGATGGAAGTTTGCGGAAAACTTTTAACTTTGGGAAAAGTTTGAAATTTCAAAGTTTCCTCCTGTTCTTTATTTAAACTCAACCTCTAATTAGTTTGATGTATATAGAGTTGGTATGTAGATGCATAGAGTTGGTATGCATAGCGTTTGTATGTAGGTACATAGAGTTGGTATGTATGTACATAGAGTTGGTATGTATGTACATAAAGTTGGTATGTATGTACATAGAGTTTGTATGTAGATACATAGAGTTGGTATGTAGATACATAGAGTTGGTATGCATATAGAGTTTGTATGTATGATAATACATAGAGTTGGTATGTATAATACATAGAGTTGGTATGTATATAGTTGGTATGTATGTACATATAGTTGGTATGTATATAGTTGGTATGTATAATACAAAGAGTTGGTATGTCTGTATATAGAGTTGGTATGTACATAGAGTTGGTATGTATGTACATAGAGTTGGTATGTATGTACATAGAGTTGGTATGTATGTACATAGAGTTGGTATGTATGTACATTGAGTTGGTATGTATGAACATAGAGTTTGTATGTAGATACATAGAGTTGGTATGTAGATACATAGAGTTGGTATGCATATAGGGTTTGTATGTATGATAATACATAGAGTTGGTATGTATATAGTTGGTATGTATGTACATAGAGTTGGTATGTATATAGTTGGTATGTATAATACATAGAGTTGGTATGTATATAGTTGGTATGTATGTACATAGAGTTGGTATGTATATAGTTGGTATGTATAATACAAAGAGTTGGTATGTATGTATATAGAGTTGGTATGTACATAGAGTTTGTATGTATATACATAGAGTTGGTATGTATGTACATAGAGTTGGTATGTATGTACATAAAGTTGGTATGTATGTACATAGAGTTTGTATGTAGATACATAGAGTTGGTATGTAGATACATAGAGTTGGTATGCATATAGAGTTTGTATGTATATAGTTGGTATGTATGTACATAGAGTTGGTATGTAAATAGTTGGTATGTATAATACATAGAGTTGGTATGTATATAGTTGGTATGTATGTACAAAGAGTTGGTATGTATAAAGTTGGTATGTATAATACAAAGAGTTGGTATGTATGTATATAGAGTTGGTATGTATACAGAGTTGGTATGTATATAGAGTTAGTATGGTTTTGTTTTAGACCAGCTACTTTGCCGTTGCCTGTGAAAGGAGTTCTTGCCACAAACTAAAAAGAATTGAGTCTTTGTCACAAACTATGATTTTCTAATTATGATATCTTTATAGAGCACAATAACATGGACTTAAGATATTTCAAACTAAGCATTTTTTAGATAAATTAATTTAAGTTTAAAAAAAACAAAGCTTTTTATACCATCAGTTGCAACTATATACGGTTTCGAAATTTGTTAATTTGTGACAAAGCCTCAATTCCTTTTCTAATCCCTGTAAACTTTGCAATCTAATGGTGTAGACCTTTGATGTTTCAAGCTTAGACCATTTGATTTAACAGAATTTACACTTTTTAATACAGGGTGCCCCAAAAAACATGGGAATACAGTGAAGAATTCGATATCGTCTTTGTTATGAATTAGGATTGTAATACCTAATTTCAAAACACATAGTATTATTAAGTCTGCTAGAGTTTATTTTATGAAAAGGCTAAAAGATCTGTCTTTAATGTCTCCGTAAGATGAACAGTGAAGAGGGACAAGTTTACTCTGTTTGTATACTGCAATTTTCTTGTTTTAATAAGTACAATCGTAAAACATAAACATAAACAAACAAAATGTGAACATAGCAGACGAAACTCTTACAGATTACAGCTTTCTCTGTAGGTATCACTATACTAAATCAAAGAATTATTTAAAAAGACGATATCGAATTCGTCACTGAATTCCCATGTTTATTGGGACACCCTGTATCAAAGGTCTATGACATCGAGTTGCAAAACTATAAGGATCTAAAAATCTAAGCTTGACGGTCAGTTTAAGGGTCATTCCTACCTGAATTTGGCCTCCACAATATGAATAAACATCCTCGGCACAAGTATACTGAACCTCTAACCGACCTCGGCTACTGCTCGTCAATCAATCAATCAATTAAAATATGCTATTTTGTTTTCCTTCTAATTATCCAGCAAACATAGTATAAACTATGTCAGGGCAGTGAAGCTCAGGAAAAGTTTTGTTTTATATTAGTGAAGTATTTTTGGAACATTTTTATAAAAAGAATCTTTAAAGCGTAATGTAAGAAACAAAAATGCAAAAAAAACTTTTTTGATGATATTACTTTTGAGGAAAGTACATTTTTATTTCCATAAAGTCATGTTAATCCGCGCTATTGATGCGCTACTGCAAAATATTTTGATAAATAGAAGAAGTAATTAATATTACAGTAATTACATTTGCTTCATCAACATCACATTCAAGGATTTATTTTTATGAATATCCTTATTATGTGGTTTATAGGTAAGGAATTGAGTCTTTACCACAGTCTCAAATTTTCTAAACCCAATATCTTTGCAACATAAACCTTCAATATTTTAAACTTAGATTACTTGATCTTGCAAAATTTATAGTTTAAAATATCTAAGGTCTACCACATTGGGTTGACACGATATAGGGATTAGAAAATCAGACTTTGCGGCAAAGAATCAATTCCTTTCTTTAGTCTTAAAACAAAAAATAAAGTTAGACTCAAGTTTTAGGGAAGCGTCATGGTTCCTCGTAATTTCCAGGATATATAATTCTTGATAAGAAATATAATATCAATTTAACCTCTCCTCACTATTATTTTCTTGGTATTTATGCTTCACAGATTCTAAGATATATAGATTCAATTTTTTTTAGAGAAAGTAAATTTTGGTTTAAGCTTCCCTAGCCAATCATAGAGCAGTATTTGAGGTAAAATCTAGCCAATAATATAGCAGTATTTGAGGTAAAATCTAGCCAATCATAGAGCAGTATTTGAGGTAAAATCTAGCAAATCTTAGAGCAGTATTTGGGGTAAAATATAGCCAATCATAGAGCAGTATTTGAGGTAAGATCTAGCCAATCATAGTGCAGTATTTAAGGTAAAATCTAGCCAATCATAGAGCAGTATTTGAGGTAAAATCTAGCCAATCAGAGAGCAGTATTTAAGGTAAAATCTAGCCAATTATAGAGCAGTATTTGGGGTAAAGTATAGCCAATCATAGAGCAGTATTTGAGGTAAAATATAGTCAATCATAGAGCAGTATTTGAGGTAAAATCTAGCCAATCTTAGAGCAGTATTCGGGGTAAAATATAGCCAATCATAGAGCAGTATTTGAGGTAAGATCTAGCCAATCATAGTGCAGTATTTAAGGTAAAATCTAGCCAATCATAGAGCAGTATTTAAGGTAAAATCTAGCCAATCATAGAGCAGTATTTTAGGTAAAATCTAATTCCTGATTCACAACGGTACCCTTAAAAGCTTTGGCTGGGGTTAATGATGATTTAGAAACCAAAAATTCTGTTGATCTATAAGAGAGAATTTTTTTTTCAAAATTGAGTACACCTTTCCTGAGATAATGTGAGTTGCCCCAAACAATCTGGATCCGATCGGTTCAAACAGAACAGCAAAATGAAATATATATATATTAATATGATTTTAAAATGAATTATCTAATTGATCCAATAATTGATTAATTGATTAATTGTTTCCTGAAGTGAGGTAGCTGTGTCCCAATATTGAAAGGACAGTTTCCCTTTTCGTATCCTGTAAACCCCCACATACAATATTTATATTAGAAAATTCGAAAATGACAAGTTGAAACAATATGTTAAAATATTTAAATAAATTATGCAAAATGGAACATTTTCAAAATTATTTTCAACGGTGGTTTAAACTTTACAGTAAGTCCTCTTGAACATAATAATTGATAGAAAAAAAAAAATTGAGACTCGTAAAAATCTAAAAATATTGCGAAATTTCCTGAACATTTCGATAGAACTGCATCCCATACATCTACACTATCCTCACTTACTAGTTCACTGATCAGTGGAGGCTCATGTACAGGCTCATGTAAACCGTGTAGTTCCTCCAATGTTGGTACATGATTGTACTGTTTACTTGTATCACGGTATTCTCTATGTACACTTTGCGCAGCGTCAATATAGTTTTTATACGTTAAGTCAAGTTGATTCACATCCTTCCCCTCCCCTTTCTCCTCCTTCTTCTCCTTCTCCTCCTCCTCGCACTCGGTTCCGTGGATGTAACTAACCCTCTCCACGACTAGGAGCATATCCGGAGAGCAGGATAGTGTCACATTCCCACATCCAAAGGATAAACCGGTCAAGTCATTCTAAATAGAAAACAATAATATTTGTTCCGCTCTATATAGACCATTCCATTTAAACTCAGTACACTTCCCTTTTTTCTTTAGATACTATACCCTTTTCTACCTTTCTATAGATACTGTACCCTTCCTTCCCTTTTTTGTAGATACTGTACCCTTCCTTCCCTTTCTATAGATACTGTACCCTTCCTTCCCTTCCTGTAGATACTGTACCCTTCCTTCCCTTTCTGTAGAAACTGTACCCTTCCTTCCCTTCCTGTAGATACTGTACCCTTCCATCCCTTTTTGTAGATACTGAACCCTTCCCTCCATTTCTTTAGATACTGTATCCTTCCCTCCCTTTCTATAGATACTGTATACCCTTCCTTCCCTTTCTGTAGATACTGTATCCTTCCTTCCCTTTCTGTAGATATTGTACCCTTCCCTCCCTTTCTTTAGATACTGTACCCTTCCCTCCTTTTCATAGATACTGTACCCTTCCTTCCCTTTTACAGATACTGTACCCTTCCCTCCATTTCTATAAATACTGAACCCTTTCCTCCCTTTCTATAGAAACTGTACACTTCCCTCCCTTTCTATAAATACTGAACCCTTTCCTTCCTTTTATAGATACTTTACCCTTTCCTTCCTTTCATAGATACTGAAGTTTGAACCCTTCCCTCCCTTTCTATAAATACTGAACCCTTCCCTCCCTTTTTATACATACTGAATCCTTCCCTCCCTTTTTATAGATACTGAACCCTTCCCTCTCTTTTTATAGATACTGAACCCTACCCTCCCTCAATGTTGACGGGAAAAATAACATTAAACTAATTCAACCATTAATATGTAAATAGCTATTGTTAATGTATTCAAAGTTTCTGTCATAGATACCAGATATTATTCAATCAAACAAAGTTGAATTCTAAATTCAAATAACTTAAAATGTTAACAAATATTTTAAATATAGAAATAGAATAGGCAGTATTTAATTTAAAGATAAAGATGATAAAATAGTCCAAGAAGTATTTAAAATTACATAACAATTCTGTAACAGCCAAGTAGTAGTAGAAGTATGTTAAACAAAAAAACTTGAATTTTAGTCTATTTCGAGTTTAATTTGTAAATTGAAAATTAAAATGGGAATCAAATCCACAGTTTCTGTCTTGCAAAGAGAAATATAAAATAAAAAGTTTAAAATTTATAGATTTTTTTTACTAAATGTGTACGTAGAGTTGTAGAACCGTGTGATAAAAATTATGAAGAATGGCAAGACCAAAAATCTTTTATAAAAAATGGGAAATTAAATAAAATAAAAATGTGCTTGGCCAACATCTTCTTCAATTGAAATGATCTTGGTGTGATTAAAAAATTTTTAAAATGGAGTGCTTATTGCCTAAACCATTGGACTATATATTCATGTTCTAAAGTTGTTTGGTTTTATGCATGTTTTATTACCTGTTTAGCATGGGTAGATATTAGCAAACAAACAAGAACCAATAGTTCCTTCATCTTTCTAGTTCAAGGTTCCTGTTCCTGGATTTACATTTCAGGTTCCAAGTTCCATATCCCTCATTATCTTTGATTCCAGTTTCAACAATTCAGATTCTACAGTTATAGATGCTTCTAAACCATTTCACCAACCTCTTTAGTCCTAGAAATAATTAAGAATTTAACAAAAAAAACTTTCCTTTTAAAGGTTACACCCTCTAAATTTTTAACTATAAAATGTGGGAGTTCTAACAGTGGTTCTAGCTAACCCAAGACTAATTATAAAGTCATCAAGTCAGAACTGTTGAGTTGTGAATATCGGGATTAAGCATTAATCTCCATATATGCAGATCTACGGATTTATTTAATTCTTCTTCGATATCCGGTTGCAGGGTTATACGCCTGTGTAGGAATAACTTCAATTGGGGGATCAAGCATTGATTCTCAAGTTTAAACGTGCCCACATTGAATATCGATATCAAGATTAACTATATCCAGAAAAAAAAGAACAACTCCCTGTATGTATCGGTGTAAACATTAATAATCTTATAACAAAATTCAAATGATAATAAATGATATAGGAAAAAGCGTACTGCTATTTCTAATTCTGGGAGGGCTGTAAACAAAGCTTAGTTTATTTACATACCAGAAATTGCAGTAAAATACACATTGGTTTATGGGAGATATATTCTAGATTGCAGCCAAATATAAAAAGAAAACACGAAAAATCTATATATTTATTTTTAAAATGGGTTCGAAAATGAAGTGGCTACCTCCTTATGCAGGGTTTAACCTTCCTTTTATAAATTTATAAAGATACTCCCTTTAAGCTTTTATAACAGAAATGAATATGTTTTATAAAATTTTCATGGGTTTAACTTCTAAAAGGTTTAGATGTATGCAAATGAATATTTTATACACCTGAGTAAAGAAATATTTAAATAGTTTTCAATATATTCAAATATTCATTTCATAAAAGTAGTTCAGAGTACAGAGTACAAAGTACAGAGTACAAAGTACAGAGTACAAAGTGCAGAGTACAAAATACAGAGTACAGAGTAAAAAGTACTGAGTATAAATCAAAAAATTCAGGGTACACAGAGTGCAATACAGAAGTCTTGTTAAAAGTCAAAATTCTACAAAATAATTTTTGTTGACTTCTATCTCTTTAATATAAAACAATGTGTGCAGGGTTATATATATACCATTAAGGATGACACTTATAAACCCTGTATATCTACTGTTATTTATGGGTAGACGCAGTGGAGGTTTTAACTCCAATATTGTAAAAAGAAAACATCTAATAAATTGTCTAAACAGTTATAGGAAAAAGATTAAACAAAATAAAGTTGGGATAGCTTCTGTACTAAAATGTACTACTATTTTTTCCCAAACATCATTAAACACAAAATGCTGGCAGGTTTTTCCAGTTTCTTGATTTTATTTATTTAAAAAATTTTTGACCGGCAACAAAACAGCCAAAATAAATTTGGCCAGATTATTATTTATTTTGGATTTTTGGTGTGTTTTCAAGGACAATGCATGATTGTAAATTATTTGGACTATTAAGAAAATTTCTTTTTAAATATATATGTCTAAGCAAAAAGCTGTTTTCTCTAAACGTAGATTAAAAAATTTAAAATCTTTTCCCCCTCCGCGTTAAAATATATTAAGTTTCTGTGTGGCGAGTTCACTGTTCATGTCAAAACCAAAAATTTGATTTCTTCTATTAATTTTAACTTAATTAGGGCAAACCCGAAGACAAAATTAGTTTCTGAAAAAGAAAAAGAACTCACAGTTTGTGGTTTGTACGGAGGAACATTAAACTATTAAAAATACATTAATCCCTATTAGCCATTAAACACAAGACAATTAGAGTAGTAGACACTTAGACAACCAAACAATTGGACAACTAAATAATTATATAATTAGATAAGTAGACAATTATACAACAAGACTATTATAAAACTGGATAATAAGACAAGTAGAGTATAATACATTTAGACAATAAGACAATTACACATTTCTAAACAATTAGACAGCTAGACAATAATAGACAGTTTGACTAAAAAAATTAAGTAATTAATAGCCAACTAGATAGCCAATTATACAAATATAAAATTAGACAATTAGACCACTTGACAAATTGATAACTAAAAAGTTGAACTTGACAACTAAAGAAAAATAGAAAAAGATGACATCTATAGAATACTAAAAACTAGACAATAACGCCGCTAAAGAAATAGACAGCTGGACAATTTAACAACTAAACACCTAGATAATTAAACAGCTAGGGAAAATAACTAAAAAAGGAAACTAGACAACAAGAAAACTAGACAACTAGAAAACTAGACAACTAGAAAACTAGACAACTAGAAAACTAGACAACTAGAAAACTTAACAGCTAGAAAACTAGACAACTAGAAAATTACCAAATAGAAAACTAGACAACTAGAAAACTAGACAACTAGAAAAATATGACAACTAGAAAACTAGACAACCGAAAACTAAACAACTAGAAAAAAAACCCAGAAAACTAGACCACTAGAAAACTGACAAATATTAAACTAGACAACTAAAAAACTAAAACAACTAGAAAACTAGACCACTAGAAAACTAGACAACTAGAAAACTAGACAACTAGAAAACTAGACAACCATAAAACTGAACCGCTAGAAATCTGACAAATGGAAAACTAGACAAGTAGAAAACTAGACAACCAGAAAACTAGACAACTAGAAAACTGGACACTTAGAAACTAAACCATTAGAAAACTAGATAACTAGTCATCTAAAAAACTTAAAAAGAAAACTAGAAAACTAGAAAACAAGACAACCATAAACTAGAAAATAGGTGCGTCATCATATTATAAATGCTTACTTGAAAGTATTTTATACAAATTGTTGAATAAATTGTTAAGAAGAAGAATATAAGAAGATTATTGTTTTGTATTAAATATATATATTTACAAATATAATATATATTCATACAAATAAATCACAAAAGCTACGGAATTTAAACATGAACATAAACATAATCTGAAACATGAAAATGAGTTTTAACCTTGAAAATCCAAGTAAACATAAACTTATCCACGAAGATGAGCATGGAGATGTAGATGAACATGGACGAGAAGATTCACTAGGTCGTGAACATTGAACATGGTGCATTTGACATGAACATCAATGTCAACAAAAAATTAAACAATTTAAATATAAAAGAAAAATGTTTGGTTGAATTGGAACCTATATCTAAAGTTATCTTTATTATTCAAAAAAGGTTTCTTGCAAAGAGAATAGAATATATATTAGAGAGGAATTTAGAGAATAGAATATATATTAGAGTGGAATTTAGAGTATCTCTCGGTATGAATTTTTTCAGTCCCTTTCAGCCTGAAAGGGAGTTCAAAGTGTACAAATCATGTAAATGTTCACAAATTATATGCAGTAGAGTACATTAATACAGTATGTTCCCTAGACTATCCATTTCAATTTCAAATTTTTTAGAGCTGTTAAATAAACTTTATATTGAATTAAGTGAATAAAAAACATCATTTGATTTATAGTTATAACGGAAAATCATCGTTTGTAAAGTAAAAGGCATAGAGTCTATGTGAAATGATCATTGGTCAATTATAAACCAGCCTATTTCATAATTTGGTTTTCTTAATATTAATTTTAGATTTTCTTTAAAATGATATTCCAGGGCCTAAAAGGTTATATAGCATAAATATTTGAAGTACACCTGCAGTATGGAAACAGTACAACAAAATGGCCGTTTTACACTTTTTTCTAGTAAATTCCACTCTAACATATATTCTATTCTCTTTGGTTTCTTGCCTGATTTTCAACAGAGCGGTAAATTGAGAACAGGTTCTTATATTAATCCTTGGTTTCTTCTTATCATCTAGTTTTCTTCTTCTTCAGGACAAATATTATTTCCTCTTCTTTTATTCAAGACAAATAGTTTCTTGTTCTTGTAGCCAGGACAAAAAAGTTCCTGTCCTTGATCTAGGACAAATATTTCCTGCGCTTGTAGTTGTATCCAGGAAAAATATTTTTCTGTCCTTGTTTTTAGAAATTCTTTTCCTCCCTTTTTCACGAAATTACCTTATAAAACATTTTTCACTTTTTCTGAATTTTAACATTTTCATTCTGAAATAATCAAAATATTAAATTCAAATATATGCGTAAATCATTAGAAAGGAATTGAGCCTTTGCCACAAGATCAACATTTGTAATCTCTGTATCTTTGCTACCGGGTGACACACCTTTGATATTTCAAACTTGGATTATTTGATCTAACAGAATCCATAGTTTCAAAAATATCTAGGGTCTACGACATTGGGTTGCAAAGATTAAGAAAATCAGAGTTTGTTACGAAGATAAATAAAAAAGAAAGAAATATAAAGATTATGTATATGTGTGTTGGCAATCAGTTTTTGATGGATGCCCTTGCGTAAAATGTGTTTGCCAAAAACAGATAATCTTTGCTAACTATGGTTGGATAAAGTCTTTAAAGGATCTTAATGATTTTGCAAAAGAAAAAAGTTAACAGTTGATGAAAACCAAGAATGTAAGAACTGAACTTTGTAAATTCTGAGAGCCGGAAATTTAAAAGAATATCATTTAACAAAACTTCCGAGTTCAATTTATGTGGTTAATACAGTTAAACTGTCTAGATTTAGACTTCAGAACTTTAAGAAGAAGTCTTTAAAAAATAAATGTTTATTAAACATTAAAAAATGAATTAAATAAATAATTAAATGTCCTTTTAATACGATTCCCTTCTTCAAGTTTCGAGCTCTGGTTTTAATACGATACCCTGCTTCAAGTTTAGAGTTCTGGTTTTAATACGATTCCCTGCTTCAAGTTTCGAGCTCTGGTTTTAATATGATACTCTGCTTCAAGTTTCGAGCTCTGGTTTTAATACGATGCCCTGCTACAAGTTTCGTGTTCTGGTTTTAATACAATACCCTGCTTTAAGTTTCGTGTTCTGGTTTTAATACGATACCCTGCTTCAAGTTTCGAGTTCTGGTTTTAATACGATTCCCTGCTTCAAGTTTCGAGCTCTGGTTTAAATACGATACCCTGCTTCAAGATTCGAGTTCTGGTTTTAATACGATTCCCTGCTTCAAGTTTCGAGCTCTGGTTTCAATA